TGATCTATTAGTCGTCTCAAATCTTCCTTTTGCTTTTCCGGCAATTTGGAGTCAATATCAAGTCTTCCTTTATCACTAGATACATCAATGCAAAAAATATTTGGTACAGCAACGTCATTAAGGCCAGTACACCCCTCATTACCCTGGTGGCTATTAGGTAGCTCTTTCTCAATATCCCCGCGAAAGCCGGAGACACTCACATCATTAATAGGCATATTTACATTTCCCGTTTTCAGCATTTCTTTTCTAGAGCAGTCAGTATCTGCATTAGCTAATTTTATACCAAACAAACGCAAAAAGTCGCGTCCCAAAATAAGCGGCAGAAACATAAAACTATCGGCAACGATTTTAAGTTCAATTACATGTTTTTTATTTTTAAATTCAATTGTACATTTTACTGTGCCATATATTTTTAGCAATTTGCCACCAATTCCTCTATATTTAGAGGTGAACCCTCTAGAAACACCCTTGCTTAGCTCTTTTGGGACACACGACACTCTGATGAAGCTAACCAGACTACCGGTATCAAAAAGGGAAAAAATTAAATCAGAAGCTACTCCCTTAGATATCTTATATTCTATTCTTACGTAATTGTAGGCTCCAACAATTTCGGCATCATCATCCAAGTCGGCAACGGCAGCTACATCGTCCCTCTTCTTGAGCGTCTTTTTCGGATTAGGGCACGTCCGATGGTCATGGCCCATCTTCCAGCACCGGAAGCATGACCCGTCTGGTCTAGGTGGGAATGGGCAGCTGGGCTTGATATGCCCATACTGCGAACAATTGTAGCTCAACACCTTAGGATCTGACTTCTGCTTAACCGGCACCGGCAATTTTTGGTTGGCTATCGCACCGCCTGCTCCAAAGTATTTATTTTGGTAACGGTTTATAACGTTTTTTAATTCGTCGATGCTCCGTGCTGTCATCAGCAAATGCGCGTTCGGTACATTGACGATTCCGTCAATAATGAGGTCAACCACCTCCTGCTCTGCGATATCTGCTCGCTTGGCAGTAGCCTGCATCGACAGTACGTAGCAGTGAAGCGTCTCTTCCTTCTTTTTCCACCGTCGCTGCGCTAGCATTTTATAAATTTCCTGCCTTGAAACTGTAAAGTCGAACTCGGCTAATAAAGCCTTCTTCAAGGAGACGTAGTTCAATGCAGTCGTCGTGGATAAAAACACCCGCGCTGTTCCAGTTAGAGAACGCCGAAGTGCCAGGAGCTTGAAACTCTCATCTGCCTTGGTTGACAACATTATTTCCTCGAAATCTCTGAGGAAGTGGCATACAGGATACGCCACATCATCACCGTTGAACTTTGGCAGCGTGTGCTCAATATCGCCAAAGTCGAGCCGACGTTGGAACTTGGTTGACGAGTGACCTTCAAGCTCCTCAATTTGCTTCACCAACTTGAGTATTTCGAACCTCTTTTTCAGCGCCACTAGCTCTTCATCTAACTGAGTCAAACTCGATCCCAGCTTTTCGGCATTTCGAGGAGCAACGGCAGCGGCAACTTCACGAGTTGCACCGGCAGCAGCACAGTCGGCATCGGCAGCGGCATCGGCAGCGGCATCTGCATGGGCGGCAGCGGCAATCATCGGCACAGATTGGGTAACCCCAATGTCGGCAGCGGCATTTGCACCAGAGTCGGCGTTATCGACATCGTCTGGAATGGCGTTGACACCATCCTTCCAAGCGGCAGTTTCGGGATCGCCCACCACATCCCGCAGCTAATTACGGAGTTGCGTCGTCGTTGCAGATGGTGGGAAATCCACCTGGGCGTCCGTCAAAACATTAATAATTCCTTGCCTTGGATTAGCCATTTTGTTAAAATGTTCTTTATTTCACAATAGTTGTGGTTTTCGCTCCACACCTGAAGTTTTAAAATTCCTTTTAGAGTTGATTAAACGCCGATGTTTGCAGATTTATCTGAAGAGAACTTAAAACACGTCTTTTTCTTTCTAGCTCTGTCCCGGAAGTGCCGGCCATCTTTTCTTTTATTCATTATCAGGCTTGCCAACAAACAAGCCAAACCTTTATTATTACAGGGTTGCCATTGGCTGCATTTCTTTATTCATTCTGAACGTTTGGAATAAACTTTTTTGTTTACTTATTCTTTAGAACGTTCCTGATGAAATGTAAACGTATATTTCAATGGCATTCTGTTTATTCTGGTTGTGAAATGGGTTTATCCGGAATGTATAAAGAAACGCAGCCATTATTATACTAACTAAAGCTAAAGTTATACTAGGTTTACACTTACAATATATACTTAAGTTTATACTACGTTTACAGTTTACAGTTTACACATCTAAATAAATTATAATTGTCAGTTGGAGTATATGCAAGACGAGTAACAGGTATACAAGTATATCTAAATTAGCGCGATGAGCTTGTATGTTTATATCTCTCTAACGCATTAATTCTATATACGTCAGCACCAACCCCCGACAAAGTTATATCTGTATTTAATAATGGCTCTATGACAAAATATTCCTGAAATGTATTCGTACATTTTTATTTACTTTCATTTCATACATTAGTATTGATCTGAATGATTTTTACTAAATACCAGGAATAAATATTTAATAAAAAACTGTTTCATTTAAGCTTAACCAACTTTTAGTTGCTCGGAGCTAATTCATGAAATATTTTCATAGACAGTAAATGCAACTCTGGGTGCATCATTAATGAGCTGAAAAACCAAACAAAAAAAATTCCATCTGAACCAATATTCCCAAAAATTATAAAGCAAAACAAAAACAATTTTTCCAATTTATGCACTGNAACAAAAAACTTTTGTTAAATTTCGTTGTTTTCTATGAGCAATTACCACGTCAAAAATGCACTAAATCACCAGTTTCCACTTTTAAAACACTACTAATATGCTAAAATTATTAAAACCTCAAAATAAAAAANAGCCTGCAATGATGACATGTCATATAATGTCGACGAATAAGGATATAAAATTTAAAATGACTAACTTTATCCCCGGCCGATTTGGGAGACCACCATTGGTCATGACCAGAACGCATTTACCAAGGGGAAAAACCGCAGGGATGGCAGTAGTTCTTGCAATCACCGTTGATGATGCTGTGTTTGTAATTAATAGTCTGAAAATACAAAAAAAATGCATTAATGAAATCTTATACACATCAAATAAATAAATTTCAATAATTTGTTTACCATTTCACAAACGGAATTACCAAGAAATAGAAACTCACCGCGATGCGATACAGAAATAAAAACCAACAGGGCTGCATTTTCTTGGTAAACAACACAAGCGCTCCGAGTAATCTGATCCGCAAAATTATTTTGTGAAAAATATTAGTTGAAGAGTTTTTACACATGATTATCCCATTAACTCATAAGTGCAAATTATTGTGATTATTTTTAGTTGAATATAATTGTATTACCTTAGACTTTTTTTAATGTTTTCTAATATTCAATCTTTTGGGACGCAAAAGCAACCATGCTTCCAATTTCTTGTGGGGAAATTTGGTCCCCATAAAGGACTTTCACCACGAAACAGCTACAAAAACAAAAACCTTTTCTACTGGTATACTGTAGTCCAAATTGATTTTAGGGCCTGTGCCAATTAGGGCCTGTGCCAAATGATAGAAAAGAGAAAATTTTGACGGATCAAAGTAAAAATCTGACATTTGTCGTGGTGAATAAGAACGTCAGAATTTTACCTAGCTCATGGGTCTAGCTAAAATTTTGACAGCTTATAACCATGTATACACATAATATTGCTTGGCGGTAATAAGGAGTGAACATGAAAATGAAAGCTGAAACAGCATAAAAAAAGCGTACGTTACTTGCAAATTATAAAATAAATATAAATTTTAAGAATTTCAGCAACACACAAAAATAAAGCTTTCGCACGAGCGTTTGTTTGGTTTTTCAACTGTCAAAATTTAACTCTGCATTTGGCACAGCAAAATTCAATTTATTTGTACACCATAGCAAATTTTTCCACCCCGTCTCACCACGGAGAAAAAAGTTACCGATTGGCAGGGCTAGTGAAAAATTGCCAGCAAGCATTAGCTTTTTTTCTTTAGTTTTCTAGCCGATAATTATCAGGAAAAAGAGGAATGGGATCATTGATGGAATTACGGGCGATATAAAGAAATAGTTAAGAAACGAAACTAACAGAAAATAGCAAGTAACTACCTGATCGGTGTATTTGACATTTGACGTATTTGACGTAATTTTTTAATCGCGTTTTATATATAAAAAGTATTCACAAATACATTTTACAATTTCATCAATATTTAATGACTCGCTAATTTTTATTAAAGAAATACTAAAAATTTGGAGAAAGAAACAAATAAAGCAAACTTAACCTCGCTTGTTTGCGCTTCAACAGGTGTTTATTCATTTTGGCAGCTGTTATATTCAGCTAGTAAAAATTTTACATGCAGAAATTAGCAGGAGAGGCAAAAAAAGAAGAGTGTAAGAACGAAAGCCGCTAGTCTTTTGGGTTGAGAAACTGTTTCCAGCAAAAACTAGTGATAATTATCTGTAAAGAAACAAAGCATATATGACGAAGAATACAGAACAACGCATGTTTACACATAAATTAAAGAAAACCAAAGCGAGTGGATATTAGAGAAAAATTAGTGGTTATTGCTAAAAGGTATAATAAGTACATGGATTTCAGTACCAGAAGAACTGAAATCAGCAAAGGCAAATATTTTCTCTATAACTGCTGCATTCTATTACTTGCTAACCCGATAGCCTTCTTCTGCATGAAAGCAACTGTCAAAAATTTCCAGCAGTAAAAAGTTACGAATTGGCACAGCAGAAATGTAAAATTTTCTCACCATAGTAAAAAGTTTTCCACCGTAGAACTTTTCTACTGATTGGCACAGGCCCTTAGTCATGCAACAGCTCCACATAACTCCGCCATAGACACACACACCAGTCGCTGCAGTACCAAAAAGCTGTTATGACAGTATTTTAATTGATCCACGATAATCGGTGGCATATGGAATGCGTGATGGAAATTTTCTGGTGCTTGATAGCCAATAAACTACAAGAGTGAAACGCTACAAGTAAAACGCTGTGATGTAATTTTTCTTAAATTTCCATCTTTTATTTGCAGTTACATTAAGAAGCTCATAGAGGACAGAGCTGTTGGTGAGGAAGGTGTCGAGTTACTGCAGTACTGCAACTGGGAAAATCCGCATTTCGCACGTGCCCCACTCGTATGGAATAGTAGCTTATGTCAAAAGGCTGGTTTTAGTATAATGCGGCATTCGCAGCATACCCTCACTGGCGCCGAGCCGTTGAAGAAATTTTGGCAAATAAACTTGCAAGAAATAGTTCCGATACTAGCACGTCCGTATTCTTGTTAAGGGTCATCAAAAAATTCCTTGTGTTGTAAACAATAAAGGGAATGCCGGATTATACTAAAGTCAGCTTCCCGACATAAACTACTATTCCATACGAACACAGAAATATAAATGTATCTAAAACTGAATAACTCAAATCAAATTGGATTGCATTTGCATAATATACCTAATATTGGAATCTGTTTTGATCGTAAAAAATACAACTTGCAATCATTTAGATTATAGTTTTGAAAGAAATTGATTGCAATCGTAAATTGTGTAAAAATTGTTAATAGCAATCTGCCTTAAATTCATGATCCCCATGTAACGGGTATAAAATACGTTAAAACCGCACTATCTGTATTAACAACAAATATACATTGGAATATTTAAAATAAAACGATTCATATTTATTTTCTAATAAGAATTGTTTCTTAATTGAAAGTATTTAATACTAATATAATGTAGTGGTTAATGTTTAAAAATGAATTCGCAATATGTCCGCAGCTCAGGTTGATTTGAAGAAATCCGTTTAAATTTTTCGAATTACATCTACTTGAATATAGGATAGGCAGGGTTGCATACAAATGGTAGTTCCGTAAATATTTAAAATATGTTAGTTCATTCAATATTTACATCTGGGCCAATAAATAATAACAAATATAGCCGAAAAAACAAAGTTTCGATTAAAACGAGTTTTTATAACCCCCATAAAATTTCGATTAATTTAAAATACGAAAATAACGATATTTTTTCATGGAGAGGTATTTTTGTAATATACCTTGTTTATACCTACACAAGAACCGTATTAGCAAAAAACCGATTGGACTCAACATATATTTCTTTACAGCATTTATACCCGTGTCTTTATACCGCACTCGATAAAGTCTTATTCAAACGTAAACAAAATCTGCTATTTTTAAACGACTTTTTTTTAATAAATAATTTGCGCGGTTGACCGAAATGGAAACAAACAATAATTGTAATTTATTATAACAATAATTCGAATTTAAAACGGGCTGTATAAAGAAAACCAGCCTATTGTCACTTCACTTTCCAATGGTGCTGATTGCTGCAAGAATTATTTATCGATTTAGAGCATAATCAACACAATATATGCACATAAATATGTATTATTTCACAGATCTCACGGCCAGCTTAGAAATACGTCACCAAAATCATATAAAATTTAAGTAGGAATTATTTTTATTTACAACGTATCTGACCCATTCTGATAAGTATATTTCCCCTAAAGTTAACCCACTTTATTTAATTTGTCTCTCGTGAAAATATATATTTTATTTAAAATTTTCAGATATGTACATATATTTTAAATTTTTGCTTTAATTTTTGTATCCTTTTAATATTTAATTAGATACCTTTAGATTAAATTAAGCTTAAAACGAAACAGCACAGCAACCCTTTTCTGTTAATCTTGAGAACACAAATCCCTCTTTTGTTAAAATTCGGCGCTGCACAAAATCCTGGCGTTTATATTTTCCAACAAAATACCACTTCGTAATTGTAGCAGCATAGCTGCACTCCTATACATGTATATATGTAAATATGTAAACGTAGTATATATAGCAACCACAAACACATATGTATGTAAATAGCACATAATATTCTGTGTATATATTTCCCCCTAGTCAGTAAGCGTCATTTCCAGTTATAGTCTAGAAGTTTCTATTTCCCCTTTTCTATTCGGTAGCGTCCCTTCCAACCTTCCATAGATTGCATCAGCCTTTTAGCTTAAGCACATATTTGTACAGTCAAGAAGATTCATAATAAATTTGGCGATCAAACCTATCGGACGTGTCTATTTTATTTGCGTTTACAGTCTCAGAAGTGGGGTCGAATTCCCTTTCCTGAACGTGTGTGCCGGTAAAATACTGATTTTTTTTTTCTTTAAGATTTCAAGGACATACATATTTTCGCATAAATAAAACTAACTATAAAAACGTTGTGAATAAAAGTTAAGTGAAGTGGTAGGCTTACGAAAGCGGCACGGCGAAAGACAGCCAAAACCAAAAGAAACAGAAAAAAAATACGAGTAAGCAAAGCCAATCGTGCAAAAGTAATTTGAAAGAAAAACAGTGCGAGCAAAGTGGAAAGTTCATAAATAAAAAATAGTTCGGCAAACGAGTGGCAAAGACAAAAGAGTGTTAAAACAATACAAATAGGAACGAGATAGACAAAAGAGTGTATAACAGCAGACATATTAACATTCAGTAAATAAGGCAAAATGGAATCAATTTGTGCTAATGAATATACGGCTGTGCAGTTGCGCGCTTGGCTTCAGCAGTTAAATTTGCCAACAAGCGGCGCAAAAAATGCGTTGGTCATTCGGTTAAACGAAGTTCCAGTAGCCGAGCGTGGCCGGTGTCCGTTGGAAGCTGATGAAAGTTTTGAAATCGTGGCGTCGGGAAAAAATGCAGAAGTCACCCCTACTTTACAAGGAAAAAACAATAACAACAATGAATGCGATGGCAGCGCATGTGGCGGCGACGGTGATGTTGACAATGACGACTGTGATGAAAACACAATACAGCAAATACAACGAATGAAGCAAGAATTGGCAGTGCGAGAAAAGCAGGTGTTGGAGAAGGAGATACAAATTCTGCGACGTCTTGCAGAACTTAACGTGAATACAGTGAGCGTCAACGAAACAGCACCACTTCGTTCAGGGCAAGTTCCCATTGATATAATTTTGAATATAGTGCCTGAATATGATGGGCAATCAAGTGTTGACATCTGGTTAACTCAATTCAAAAGTGTATGCGATGCGTATGCAGTTGACGTCACAATTCAACGTGTCTTGCTACTTAACAAACTAAAGGGAAAGGCATTACAGTGGATACACTCTAAACCACACTTTGCGACGGAAGAGTTGGAATGTTTACTTGCGGAAATGAAAGAAGTGTTTGGTGCAAAGGAAAGCAAATTGCTGCTGCGTCATAAATTCGAGGCAAGGATGTGGAGAGCCGGTGAAAGCTTCGCGCAATATTACAATGAAAAGATATCGCTGTCAAATTCATTGCACTACGAAGATGATGAGTTACTAGACTACTTAATTGAGGGAATAACCGATGAGCAGCTACGCAACCAAGCTTATTTGCAGTGTTACGCCTCAAAGTCTCAGCTACTACAAGCATTTTCCAAAATAAGTTTGAAGCAGAATGCATCGAGAGTGGCGTCGAGGGGAACTGCAGCAGCTACAGCAACACAGATGAGTTACACGAAACGGTGTTATAACTGCAACTGTGTTGGTCACTTCGCCTCCGAGTGTAAGAAGCCAAAGAGGGAGAAACGGGCATGCTATGCCTGTGGCAGCATGGAACATCGAGTTGCAGTGTGCCCAGATCGCAAAAACCGAGTCCAGCTGGTAGATGATAGCGAATACGTAAGATCTTTTATGTTTGTTATTAAGAACCAAGGTTATATATATTTTTCCTTAGAATGTCTCATAGATTTTGGAAGCCCAATCAGCTTTATCCGAAGATCAGCAGTATGCAATCAGTTAGATTTAAAGTTACTGAAAAATGAAAATGACTTATATTTTGGTCTAAATAAGTCAAAAGTGCAAACCTATGGAAAATTTTTGTGTTCGATTATAATAAACGATAAACATTTTGATATTAACTTTATTGTTGTTGCTGATGGGACAATGACCTATGAGGCTGTTCTAGGAAGAGATTTCCTTAGAGAATGTAAGTACAGATTAGTAAGAGAGGAAGAAGAACAGAAATGCGTTTCCAATAAAACCGCTTTGGATGGAAGAAATAATTGCATTGCATCAGGAATTGATAGAAGACTTATAAAATGTCTAAGCGATGTAAGTTCTGAGAATTCAAATATTGAATATTGTAAAGATATGACTGAAAATAATTATGAAGTAGTAGGAGTAAAGTTTAAGGCAAATGAGTGTGAAGCGAACAAATACGAAGAAAGTACAAATGAATGTAAAAAATATGCTACAAAGGTTAGAAATATGTCAGATGAGTGTAATTCAACTGAGTGAGGGTTGGAAAAATAAGTATGAAAAAGCACTTACTAATATAATTAACGCTACAAATGAATGCGTACAAAACAGCCAACAGTCAGGCGAAAAAGTAAATGGCTCGGAAATTGAAAACAAAGTTGATAAAGAATCACTCGAAAATGTTAATTTATTAAATGAACTACTGATGTTAGAGCCAAATGATGAAGATGAAAAATTGTCGATAAAGATTGGTCAAAATTTAGACCATTTTTATAAGCAAAAATTTAATAAACTATTTGACAAATATTATTTGGAATCAAAGCGTCCCATTGAACCAAAGGTTAAGTGCGAAATGAAGTTGACTTTAGATAATGTGAAACCGTTCAACTGCCCACCGCGACGATTGTCATACGCTGAGAAAATCGAATTACAAAAGTTGTTAGACGAATATTTAGAAAAAAAGTATATACAACCGAGTGAGTCTGAATTCGTATCACCAATTGTATTGGTGCGAAAGAAGACAGGTGACATAAGAATGTGTGTTGACTATCGAACGCTTAATAAGGTTACAGCGAAGGATAATTATCCGATCCCGTTGATTGACGATTTAATAGATAGGTTAGCCAAAAAGAAATTTTTTACCAAATTGGACTTGAAAAATGGTTTCTTTCACGTTTTCATGCATTCAAATGCAGTAAAGTTTACATCGTTCATCACACCTTTAGGTCAGTTTGAATTTTTACGCATGCCGTTTGGCCTCAAAAATGCTCCGTCAACGTTTCAGCGTTTTGTTAACAAGATTTTCACAGACATGGTCATAGATAACAGGGTGATAATATATCTAGACGACATAATGATAGCTACCGAAGAGTTAGACGAACATTTAAAGATTTTACAAGAAGTTTTCCGAAGATTAGTAGATAATAAATTAGAGTTGAGATTAGACAAATGTGAGTTTCTCCAGTCTGAAGTGAAGTACTTGGGTTACACCATCACGGAAAATGGTATTCGAGCAGATGACAAAGGCCTTGAGGCGATAAAAAATTTTCCC